TTATTATTTAATTTGCATCGGAAAGAATATTAGAAATTGCGTAATTGAAATCTTTAGGAATTTTTTTAGGAATACACTTTATGTATTTGATCCTTTGATTTACATCAATTCATATATGGTAAATAAATCAATGAGGATTGAATTAAATAAACTAATAAAAACTGAAGCTAAATATTGAAGTCTGTAAATACAGAAGTCTGAAAAATCCAAATAGATTTATTAAAATAAATTAAAACTCATTTATTAAAATATATGAGTTATTAGATTTATAAAGTCGTATTATCCGCAACATATACGTTAACACAAAGGATATACAGCATTTCTCAACAAATAATAGTCTTGCCACATCACGTGTAAAACAGCTTTTAGCAAAATGCTGACTTTATCCCTCGGGACCAGTCAAAGCAAAGGAACTTTATACGGTCAGAGTAAATAGTAGTCACTGCAGACAAGTAAAGCGAAAAAGGAGTGAAAACGAGATACGGAGAAGGTCGAGGGAACTCTCATTCGTCACTGTGGAAATCTCGAAACGAGCAACGCTATTCTGACCTGACGGTACGTCACGGTCGACACTGGGGGTCGTATTTTCCCGCGGAAATGTCGAGCACGAGATTGAGGGGGTGGTTTGTCGTGGGTAAGCACGATGGGAAGATAAGAGGGGTCGTACGGCAGGATCAATCTAGAGTTCACTAACCGTGAAAATGCTAGTGCATGTTATGGAGGAGGCGTGCGTTCGGTGCAACGACGGGACGTTGCAAGACGCGGCGGAGAAAGATGAGAAATTGCAGAAATCTGCATTTTCGTCGCGCGTTCGGGCTTGTAATAATGGAAGATAGCGGCCGAGAGAGAAGCGTACAAACGGATATCTTATAAGGCATATCTTATAAAATGAGCAGCGTCATCGTCGTTATCGTGGTCGTCGTTATCGTTGATGCTTTCAGCAGCGCGCTGAGTGCAGCGCGCTCAACGGAGATTATTGCTCTCTATTTTCGACGTGAATAGAATTTCGAATTGCATGGAATTCTGTGAACATCTGTGGCAGTAGAGTTTCTCGAGATTATTCAATTGTATATAGTACTGATAAGCTCACGTTCATTATCCTGCAAATAATGTGCACTTTGGAATATATTATCTCGTTCGTGCATGTGAGTTCTCTTCCTGCAAGCGATCTTAATTAGCATACGTTAACTAGGCTTAATTACTTAATGTTGCAAGGATCTTTTTCCTCGAGAACGATAACATTGAGCTATTGCTATCTAAATAAGTCGGCAGGTGGTATGACATGCAAATATGACCACTCGCGCTATTTAACACGACGTTAAATCGAAATTAATCCAGTAGGCGTGGCTAATTATTCAATCAAAGTCGCTTTTCCCTTAGAAAGATCTTATCTTCACCGCGCCATATTAATCACCATGTAATAACGTCGTAATTTCACTCTATCCCTACCTTGAAAACTAAGAATTAGATACAGCTAGTTTTCTGAAAAAGCCACTGATACATCAGGGATCTTAAATTATACACCAGTCAAAGATAAAACCTCGAAATTATAAGATCATAACTTTATTATCATGAAGCTCGACTTATAGTATATTTCCTTTTTAATTAGCTTGTTCTGAAAAAATTGGATCCTAGATTAAACAGACACTAGAATTTTATTTTCTGTGATGATTGAAATTTATTGTGTACAACATGTTGTGATTTTTATAAAACGTGATTATATACGTAGGTGAACTGTTTTAAAATGAAGTTTCCTACAACTTTATTATACACTTACTCGTTATACTCAACGGGACGAAATCGGACCATCCTGTCACCCAACTAATTCCTAAATTTATCATCGTTATGGAGAGAGAGGAGGAGGGGCAATCTCTGAAGTTTCGAGCGCGGTTAAAGCTCAAACTTAAATTATGTATTAAAATGAAATTATACTCTCCCGTCTTTCCACGCGATCCAACACCGATGGAATCCCCTCGTTCTGGGGATTAATTTATGAAACTTATGCCGTCCTAAGACGAGCTTAAATCTTCTTTTCACGCTCGGTATGCGCTTGCGGTGAATATCGTGTCTCGTTGTTATCTCTAAAGGCTGCCATGATTGCTAACGAGAATATAGAATACAGAATACTGTTCGTTATCTCGACGGCAAGAGCACGCGCAGGCTCTGTCGGTACGACACTTAGGTTTTATATATTGGAACCAGAAGCCCTGCGAGAGAACACGAGGTAGACCGTATGTGCGCTATATCGTTGTCTCTATGAATCGCTAACTCAGCAGTTAATATTTTGGTTGCTAAGCCCGTTAATCATTATGCTTGCTTATAAATTTTATACATTATATAAGGCGCTTACCGCGTAAAAATGGCTTAACTGTTAATAAATTATTTCATGAGTTAATAATTTATGAAATCGAATATTAATAGTTAAGCACTTTTGCGGTAACCGCCTCATATAAATTTATCAAATAAATTTTTCACATTTCTGTTTTCATATTACTCTTATTTCTTGATAGATTGATTGTTTTATATAATGATATTTCAAAGACGTTCAATTCTTGAACGTAAAACGTGTTCCGAAGTTGATTAAACGTATCACATTAACATGCGATTTAAAAAAAATAATTTTCCTGTTCATCTCTTGTTCATAACTCGGAGACGTTACAAAATATTTATGAAACATAGTGTTTACTGATAAATGGGATTATATCTGACACCTTTGAATGACACGCCTCGAGTACAATTTTTATTACACGTTTATGCGTGGATGTCTCTTTTACAACTGGTCTTCGCAACGAGCATGAATGTCACGTAACATTAAAAATGTTCTAGACCGTAAAAAGTTAATTAACTTTACAATTCAACACGACATGTAGTCCTTGTTAGAGGATATGTGCGTGTTATCCAGTGACATATATAGTTAATCGCGCGAAACCCGTCTGTCAAGTGCGAGTACCTACGGCAGAATCTCGCGAAAATCCTCGCGGTTGTAAAAAAAACGCATTGCTAAATACTTATGCACTCAAACGAAACGATGGATGGTCCATAAAGGCCAATATAGACTTGTAGTGCATCCGCGTCTTTGCATATCATTATAACAATTTTGATACCCAACAGTGCAATACTTTCCGTCTACATTGATACGCAATGATGATATGCAATAAGTCTGCATTCGCTCTTTTTCTAAGCTGAATTAGTACACACTTTTAGCACATAAAGTGAAATAGGTATAATAATATATGTTTGACATTTGGCAAACACAAGGAAGAAAGTTCTAGCAGTCTAGTGTAGAAATAAAAAACAGACCTACACCGTTAAATCTATAGTGTCAAATTTAACCTAATATGAGTCGCCACTGCTCCTACCAAATATATCGTTATTTTTTACTAAAATGATAATTAAATTTGACACTATATAATGTTAAATTGATACTGTATAGTGTCAAATATAACCATTGTTTTAGTAAAAAATAACGATATTATGGAGTAGAAGTAGTGGCGACTCACATTAAGTTAATTTGACACTATAAGATTTAACAGTGTAATGTCTGCGTGGAAGTTGCATCAAAAGAAAACGTTAAAAAATCATGATAACAAATGCATCTTTAAATTGAATAGGGAAAAGGAGGAGTATTTCGCAAAGCTTTCAGATTTGTTGCATCTTTTCGTTGCAAGATCTGACATTTGTGTTCATATTTCGCATGAATTTCTGATTTATCGCGGTACAATGAGCCTAATATTCTTACACGGTAAATTGACATCGGACAACGGCTTCGCCGTACAGTTACGAGCGATATGGGATGCACTGTGCAGACGCTCGCTCACGTAGACCGCGCGCCGATGCATTTACGATGCATCGACGCGCGCTTTCTCACACCGGGAGATCGTTATCCCCGCGGCGGTCTATGAGCCTAGACAAACGTACATAAATTGAATGCACCGAGATTAGGGGGTTGCTCAGCTGGTAACCACTTTGTAACAGTACCACGGAGGGACTGAGACGAATGGTAATAGCGTTCAAGTCTCTCTCGACAGCGTAGCGCGGCTGGGAAGATGCGCTGACTCGATCGGAGAAGTCGTCGTGTCGTTTCTTAGTTCGCTCCCTTCACCGCTTTCGATCAGTCGCTTATTCACAATAAGTGTTTCGATCAGATTCACATAACACGTCTTTGAATACGGCGGTGAATGTTGAAAATACAGGAACTGTACATAGCCACGCGGAAAGAATGATTGTGGTGAAATATCTAAAAATTTCAGCAGATACAGATCTACAAATAATTTTGTTGGACTCTATCAAAATAATTGTAATATGTAGAAAAATTCAAGCATAATGAACAATGCTGTAAACAATTTTTACATTTTACAATAGCGGCCAATTTTTGTCCTGCATATTTTATTTTATAGTCCAACAAAATTCTTTTCGGATTTATATCTAGCTAAATTTTTTAATATTTCAAGTAAAAAAACTGTTTTTTTTTCTGTGCACTGTTTGGGGAAAATTCTCGGTTAAAAAATGCAACAGTAAATAACAGACATGTAGAAAAATACTTGTGTATGATGTGTATCCGAGTGTTGAAATACTCTTATTAAAATACGCCAGTCTCGTAGAATTCTCTTATCTGCATTTTTCTCCTCGCGAAAAATACTTGAGGATTCTCGATTCGCAGAATCTCTCTCACGGACTCGCGATTTCGAAAGCGAATCGTTACGCGCGATAGAGAAAGCTGTATATATGACCCGCAGGATCGTCTAATTAGCCCGGCTTCACATTATTAGCGCGCGTACATTGAAATGCGTGAAGAATTAGAAATCCTACACGCCATTATCGTCGCTTACTAATCTCGCGCGCGAGACGATAGCAAGTTCACCGTGGCACTTCCGTAATTAACCGTGCCACGGGTAATCGCGTGGGGTTACTCGACGCGAGCGTAATTGCCGCGCGCGCGCGCGTCGCTGAGGTGTCTTTGTTGGATTTACATGTAATTGCCGGGCCGCGGGGGCACTTACGTTTGCAGGCCTTGCGATGCGTGATCGGTCTCGCCGGATCTCTGTAGTAACCTTCGCGGCAGTAATGACAGTGCCTTCCTGCCGTAAAATGCCGGCACTGCAGACAAACGCCTCCGCTGACACGGCCCGACAGCTTGTACAGCTCCATGTTGAATCTGCACTTTCTCGCGTGGAGGTTGCAGTTGCACACTGAAACAGGTAACACGACAATTTTAGTCAGCGAGCGATAACCGAGGCGCGCTATTATATTTTACATTTACTACCATTTCCTTTAATTTCTCCTTATCTCGCTCTCGCACACGCGCAAGATTTCTTTTCTTTTCATCCTTTTTAGTCGCGCCGTTAATGCCGATATTATTATCATTAAAACGCCATAATTGCGATTGAAATTCAAACGGCTGCAATTATTTTGCTGAAAGAGAAAAATGAAGGGCGTCTCCTTCATTATCACTTAATTTACGTTGCGTGTGGAAATAACAACGTTAAAATATATATTTTCACCTTCTCCTTAAAGAAGAAGGTCAGTAGTTTACGTTGTTCGTGCGTTATATTTTCGGGCATATCGAGAAAATATTGTTACAAAGATAATACAGTCTATGATCTTAAATTTGGGTGTACATGGCTCTATATGCGAAATGTAGAGAATATATTTGAGATAATTTGATTTAAAACGCGTGTAACTTATGTAGAATATATGTAGAATTCGCTTTTAGTAAAAGTAACACATATTCTTTTTTTATTCGCGAGGTGTACATAGCAGTGAGACATCAGCAAAAAGACTTTAATAAACTGAATTTAAAAAATTGAAATTTCTAAAAATTTTCCTGCAAATTTCTGAAAAAAAGATATCGTTTATTTATTCCTTAAAGTGATTGCTTTGAATTAATCTTTTCTCGTGCAAATAGAAACTCAATTTCACATATTGGTACATAGGTTTGCTTATGCAATTATTAATGATTGCTTAGAGAAGTGTCTACGATAAGTAAACATGTTCATACAAATTGATTAACGTGCAACGATTGCTCGGTTAAATCGCAGCGTTTCTTATATTAATTATATTCATCTCGCCAGAATCCGCATTGCTTAAATGCCATCTATTCTACTTTAATTACACATTGCTGCGAAATAATAAACGTTGCATCCCGCCCAACCGACGTACAAGTGCGACACAAATATATATTATTTCGCCGGGAACTGCGAGTAGATATTTCAGGCATTCCTCCGATTGAAGCATTGAGCGTGGCACGCAGCCACCACTCGTTAATATTACGGATCTTCATCGTGGAACGCACGACGGAGCGTGCCGGGGTTCCTTCTGTACTTATCGCGGTAATTAGTCTCGAGTTTATTCATCCGGCTGGAGGAAGGAAGGCGGCTCGAGGGGGTCGTCTTCGTTATCGGACGACGGTCCTCGACTTCTCTCCTCGTTCTCGATCTGCCTCGCATAGCGTTGCTAACTCAACCCGACAATAAGAGTAAATTCGGTAGTCCATAATTCGGAAAATTTGAAATTCCAACTTTTACATAGAATTTTTGTAACAATATCGTTGAATCATGTTCACAAGGAAAGTTCAACCTGAAAATAAAAAAATAAAATGTACACTTTGCACATAAGTGAAATAATTTAATTCAAATCTATAATAATTTTTTGTTGTGGTTAAAAACCAATTAAAGTAAAGTAGTTAAAGTTATATGTTTATCTATTTTTTAGTATAAGACATTATTTAGACTAAGTTTCTCTATTTGCATCTAAACTCTATTATTTAAACTTTATTTAAGCTCTATTTTTATGCATTTAAACGTTTTTATGGCTTGTTGAATTTTCTGTGTGAATAGGATTTGATAAATCTGTCATAAAATTTCGATTAAAATAAAGATTAAATTTGGTATTATTTTGGTACAAAAAAATCGTGATGAGAGTGCAACTGTCCGTTAATCTATCAATGTATCAAAATAACAAGCGATAAAATTTAATAAACATTAAAAAGTTTACACACTGTTGTACGAAAATTGATGAAATAGGACAAAAGTTAATCTTTTTATAAGGACTAGAATTTTGTATTGCAAATAAAAATACCCCAAAATTTTTTTTGAAGTTTTAAGACAAGAATATAGACGCTTTTCTATTACGCAGATTAAATGTTTCCAGCTTGAATGTATAATTTCTTTCTAACTTCTCTCTCTCTTTCTAAAGTCAGTTTATAAACAAAAAACGCAAAGAAATCTCTTATTGGCTGTGAGAGTAATAAATTATATGAAGATATTCTCTTGAAAAGCATAATTACGTTTAAGGATAGCAATAACGTGATTATAAGAATATTTCAAGAATTCTTGATCTTCAGCAACAGCTGGGATAAAAATCTCTTCTTATAATGTTCACTTAACGTCTCAATCAGGCTTTATATCTCCAACTTATTTCTAAGTTTTCACTAAAAAGTTAGAATTCTAATTTTTTCCGCTTATCATCCATTTATATATGTATATATATATATATATATATGCTAAACTGTCTTCTTAAAAGTCAGCCATATTTTGATAACTATAATTGAAAAGAATTTATCTACGTTGGTATTATTGTCCCGACAGTTTCACCCTATGCATCGATCGTTTGTCTATTGAATTCTTGAGAAGCTCAGGGGAGCTCTCCGGTTAGAATCGTGCCGTAACTTTCCTTTATTCGAGCACGCCACCCGTGTTCTTTGTGACAGCTTGAAAACATAACAGAATAATTGAAAGCGTAAGGGGAAACGGCGAATGCCAAGGGTGGAATCAATGGAGGAGGCTCACGGTTAATCCATCTCTGTGCTTTCGTTCTCTTGTGGATTCTCTCGACCTAATAATCCCGTGTATCGAACCAGGAGAAGCGTGCCTTATTTTTCTCTCGCGATGACACTCATTACTGCGACTTTTTTTCTCCCTGCTACCTCGGCGCGTGCTTTGTTCTTTTTTTTCTTTCTCGAATGCTGACGTCGCCATATACAGCTTAACTCTGCTGTCATAATTTATATCCTCTTACAAATTAGCGCTACGCTTTAATCGATTGACCGGCGGCGGTGTGAAAAATAGGATCTGCTTCAATTTAAAATAGCAAGCGTATAATTAACACGGATATATCTTAACGATTAAAAATGAACATCATAAAAAGATTCAAATTAAAAAAACAATTGTACATTGTTAAATTCATAATGTCAAATAATAATTTGAGTTATTTTTAATTTCTATAGTCATTGCTTTTACTCAATATATCGTTAATTTAACTAAAACAATAGAGTTAAAATTTAATTAAAAAATATATATTAAATTTGATTCAAATTTATTATTTATTAAATACATATGTTAATATAGATATTGTTTATTTTAATTGAAACTAACCACAGAAATGGATTTATTTACATTTTGACACATGCAATTAAAAAATAGCAAAATGTTATTTAATTCAACGGATTGGGTTACCATTGCTCCTTTGATATCTAACAGTGTATCATAACTGTGAATGAAATAATAAATATGAAATAATTGAATACATAAGATAGACACACGAGATTGAGAAATAAGTACTATTTAATGTTTATCGTTGATATTAAGATATTTTACGATACACATATATAATAACGTTATTACAATAACAAAAACATTATAAAAGGAATTGATAAACTAGAGAGAAGCTAGTTAAAGATGTCCACTCGAAATAAGTTCTTGTTGATGCAATTTCACGTAAAACAAACTGACGCTGATTGAAACGCAAGATACTAGCGAGATATTGCTTCCGGACAAATCATCAAGAGAATGCTTGTTTCTCTCTATCATGATTCAGTTTTGAGTCCTGTGTACTCTTCAGTATGTTTGTTACCGGAATTTTCGTCTTTTTACCGGAAATGAAGTAGTGAGTGATTTAATGGAAAAAACATACATTTTTAAATTTTAAACTCATTTCTTTTTTTTAGGATGTTTCTTATTACTTCTGTTTTTTTCCAATTATTAGAACATAAAATTTTTCATGCATATATCGCTATTTTTATATGAAATGTCGCCCCCACTTTCTAATGCTTCATAGAATAGTCGCTGCTTTTCGATAAATTATATTAGTTAATCTTCGACAGACACATTGTTACAATACTTTTCAAATATATAAAATCTATACGTAAATTTATTAAGCTCAAGATCGATAACATTTTCTTAATGCTCTCATTGCAAATCCCAGTGAAAATCTCAGCCGGTGATTTATGGGAACTTGGTTTGCGCGAAGCGCAGAATTTGATCGATGGATAAGAATGTTGTTGAATCCAAGTTAGCCGCTATGTATCGGGTCGATCGGATAACCTCTCGATAGTTAATAACCACCGTCAGCCACCGTCTGAAATTCTACGATCGGTTCCTGTTATTAAGTCGTAGCCATGTCAGAATCTCGATTCGTTTTCGTGAAGATGATCGCCGTAATTAGCGATTAATCGAAGTGGTATCGGTGAGTCCTGTAACGTTTACTGCTGGCATTTAAGAGCGAATTAGTGTTTTCGGATCTACGTCGATATTAATTAACTCCGACTGAATCCTACGATTTATAATAGTCGAGTTGTAGCTCCTTTTTATGGCGCCTCTCATAAATCAATATATCCCTGGAGAAAAATAAAGTGTTACTAAAGCAAACAGTGAAACTCTACCTTAGTAAATTTATTTTCAGCAAATTAGTTCTTTGCGGAATACCTGTGATTAAATAAAATTTAGTAGCACTTTATTCTTCACTCAAATTAAGTCATAATACTTTCTTGGAAAATATCAAAATCTTTCTTTAAAAAATGCATGAATATAGTAATATAGTAATTTTACTGATATTTGTAGTAAGAATTTATTTATTATTAATCTTTGTTAAAGTTCATGGTATTATTTTTATTGAAAATAATAAAACTCTTAACAAAAAGTAAGAAATTGATATTAAATATTTAAATTAATAAGAAAATTGAATAAAAAATTAAAATGTCATTTTTAAAAAATAATTAACAATTCTTAAAAGTTTCCGCTTTAAAATATACATTATTTTTATAGAATTGTTTTTCAAAAGGAAATAAATATTTTTTTTTAGAAAAAAACAACTTGTCATGAATTCTTCTTGAAATGGTATCGGAATATCAACTTCCACGTTATTTTCTTTTATTCTGCTACCAGATATGTACATTCAAACTCTTAGAACCTTT